GCTTTCCAACACAATGAGTGGTTAGGGTTTGGAATGTGCTGTCTGGAAATTTGATGGGGCAGTTTATCAATTTTTTGGCTCAGGGAAATAGCTCAGTCCTATCCACTTTATCTGGACACCTCAATTAAATCTCCCCTCAGGTCCTCTGCTTCACAGAAATTAAGTTCAACCCGTCCATTCTTTCTCCGTTGCCTATAATTCCTATTCCTGGCAACATCCTCAGCCATCCCCACTCTCTTGTGCAATCATACGCCTCGTGCAATGTGGGGACCAGAACTGTATAGTGTGCACTGTATTCCAGCTGTGGGCTAACCCATGTTCTACATAGTTATAGTACAACCTCACTTCCTTGGCTGGCAAAAGAAAGCATTCTTCTTAATCACCTTATTGACCTGTCCCGCTGCCCTCAAGGATCTGTGAACTTGCATACTAACATCCAAATAGTTCCTTCACTTTTTAACACCTTCTCATTTATCGTGAATTCCTATGCCTTGCTTCACAGTTCTCCAGAATGGATTGCATTTGTAATTTTTCTAACTGACTGGTCTGTCCATTGATATCTTCCTGCAATCTGTAGCTTCCTTTCTCATTGTCAACCATTTGCCAACTTTTTGGCTCACCTACAAACTTCTTACATTTCTGCAGTTGAGTCTAAATCATTGGTACATACCACAAAGAGCAAGGGACCCAGTACTGATCTTCGTGGAATCCCATTACAAAACTGACTGTCCTCAATTAACCCATTAAAACATTTTAGCTATCACGTTCTCGGCACTAATTGCTATAGTCCCAGTTTCCAACAAGGATAGAATTTACGTTATGTGGGAAAGCTCTATTTCAAATTGGAGATCATGTAGCGGTGAGCAACAAGGATGGGATTTCCAGTGTTGGAAGGGGGAGTTCTTTCCCATCCACTCTTTGGTCTCAAGGAAGGCAAGACCAAAGAGGAAATCTAAATATAACATTTTGACCCCAACTCCTGAAAATCTAAACACTAACAGACCATGAAGGGCACTTTCTCTCCCTGGTGGCCCTAGACTGGTTTCAGTATTTGCACGTTATAAATTGAAGAACTGTAATGTTGTATATTAACTTATTTCTTTACTTTTCTACTTGTACCTAGGTACCGTGTAATTGAGACAGCACCAGGAATGGCAACTTTCTACATTTTTTACTGCATTCGTGTATCCCTGCACACGAGCACACGTGACAATAAAACCTAATTCCTAATCACCCATTTCTAAATGATGAGTGTCACTGTTCGTCCCATTTGGAACAATATGACACCCCCCCAACTATTCTTCGATCGTCCAACACTGAGCCAGGAGCCACAGAGGATCGGAGATTGATGATCACAGCCTTTGCTATTCCTTCCCTTGTTTCTCTTAACAGCCTGAGACACATTTTGCCTGCAGCTGCTTATTTATCCGCTTTCTAAGATGCTAAACCCCTTTTATTCCCTTCCAGTATGTTTATCTCTAAGTTGTGAAGATTTGTAGCTCGGGTTGTGGATGAGGTTGTAGACTTGCTCGCCGAGCCGGTGTGTTTGATTGTAGATGTTTCGTCACCCTGTTAGGTAACATTGTCAGCGTGGCTCTGGTGAAGCGTTGGTATTCTGTCCTGCTTGTTATTTATATGCCTCGGTTTGCTGGGATGATTGGCATCACTTCCGGTTCTGTTTCTCGGTGATTTGTATATCGGTTCCAGTTCAGTAGGTTTGTTGATGGAGTTCCGGTTGGAATGCCAGGCCTCCAGGAATTCCCTGGCATGTCTCTGTTTGGCTTGTGCTATTATAGATATGTTGTCCCAGTCAAATTTGTGTCCTTCTTTGTCTGTGTGTGTTCAGACCAGTGAGATCGGTCATGTCTCTTGGTGGCTAGTTGGTGTTCGTGTATCTTTATTGTCAGTTTTCTTCCAGTTTGGCCTGTGTAATGTTTCTCACAGGCCTTGCATGGTATTTTGTATATTATGTTAGTTTCATTGGTTGTGGGTGTGGGATCCTTTACGTTCGTCAGTAGCTGGTGCAGGGTGGTTGTTGGTTTGTGGGCTATCCTGATACCTAAAGGTCTGAGTCGTCTTGTGGTCATCTCTGATATGTATCTGATGTACGGTAGGGTGACTGGCACGTCTGGTGGTATTGTGTCTTCTTGGTGTTGTCTGTTGCCGAGGTAATGGCAGACTGTGCTTTGTGGCTCGTTTGAATAATGTCCTGATGCAGCTCCATTTATGGGTGTCGGGATGGTTGCTGGAGTAATTAATTATCTGGTATCTCTTCCAACATTTCACACTCCTGTTCCTTAACAACAATATCTCCTTCTTTTGTGAAGAGAGGTGCAAAATACTTAATAAAGGACCATGGTCATATCATCCATCTCCACATTCAGGATAACTGTTTGCTTTCTGATAGCTTCTAGCTCCCTGAGCATTTATAAAACTTTGTGGGGGGATGGGGGTGCTTAATTTTTACATGACAATATATTTTTGTGCCCTATTTTGACTTTCCTAATGCTGTTTGTTTTCAGACTTGTAATTTCTATACTCCTCTAGGCTTTCTGCAACTCTGTAGTCCTATTGAACTTGAAACATTAACTGTTTCTCTCTCCACAGTTGCTGCTAGACCTGCCAAGTTTTTGTTTTGATTTGAGCATTGTTAATCTGTCCTTTACCGTCATATCTTAGCCTTTATGCTCCTCGATACTCAAGGGGTTGTGGATTTGGGATTCCCATTCATTTTCTTTTTCTGTTGCAATATATTTGTTCTGACCCTTCAGTATCTCTTCCTGGAATGTTTTCCCCTGCCCAAACATAGATTTACCTTCAAACAGCAGGCGAGAATTTATGCAGAAAAGTACCAAACATTTAGTTTTAGTGTGTAGAATGTGGAATCACAATACAAACCAACAAAGTGACCAGGGTTCTACATGCAGGTTGCAAAAATGGTTAAAAAGTCATACAGTATTCTAGTCTTTATAAACACAGGCATAAATCCAAAAGCAGGGGAAGCTTTGGTGAGCCTGTATTAAACACATGGTCAGCCTCAACTGGAGCATTATAACCAATCCTGGGCACCACATTCAGGAGCGACGCGAAACTTCGAACAGGGTGCAGATTAGACTTATAATAATGGTTACAGGGCTGAGGGACTTCCACTTCAGCAGATAAATTGGAGGAGCTGGGACTGTTGTCTTCGAAGAAAGTATTGTTCAGAGGAGCTCAAAATTATGACAGATCCAATCAAAACAGAGAATGAAAAACTGTTCAGGTTGATGAAACAGTGGGAACCAGAGGGCAAAAATTTAATATGACTGGTGAAAATGATATAAAAGAGCCTACTCTGCTCCTGAGTCTTATACTGATAAATGGCCATCAGCAATATTATGTTTTTCATGAAGAAACCAGAGGGCTATATTTTCTCCTCCTAGAAAGAAGAGATTTCTTAGCAGCAAGTTGTCAAAGTACCAATCAACACTAAAGTAATGATATCTCTCACATTTCACCAGCATAAACTATCACTGAGGAAGAAGTGATTAAAATACTATCATTGCTATTGTAGGGTGACAGAAATATTGCAATAATGGCCCAAAACAGTTACATCAATTTGTAATTGAACTTAAATGTTAAAGTCTGCCCTCCTTCCCTAGCACGACCTCCAATCATAACATAGACATCTCAAGTCCAATGCACTTATAGCAGATAAGTGCGTCACATCCAATATGGAGTGAAAGATAACAATGGGAAATAAACTTATAAAAGGATAATTGTATTTTTAACCAGAACGTGGCACCTTTAACAGTCCAACGGCTCCCTCAGTGCTGGCTCTCCGACACCTTGGCACTCCCTCAGCGCTGGCCCTCCGACAGTGGTAAACAGAGGTGCTATCAACTCTGATGTTGGATCGACTCATACAGTCATAGGATCATTTTCCATGCTGTACAGCTCTTCGGTCCAACCCGTCCATGCCAAGCTGATATCTTAAATTAATCTCATCCTATTTGCCAGCATTTGGCCCATATCGCTCTAAACCCTTCCTATTCATATACCCATCCAGATGCCTTTTAAATGTACCAGCCTCCACCACTTCCTCATTCCATACACGCACCACCCTTTGTATCAAAAGGTTGCCCCTCAAGTCCCTTTTAAATCTTTCCCCTCTCACCTTAAACATATGCCCTCTAATTTTGGGCTCCCCCAGGCTGGGGAAAAGACCTTGGCTATTCACCCTTGCCATGCCCCCCATGATTTTATAAACCGCTACAAGGTCACCACCCCTAAGCCTCCAACGCTCCAGGAAAAACAGCCCCAGCCTATTCAGCCTCACCACATAGCTCAAAGTCTCCATCCCTGTATATTTTTCTGAATCCTTTCAAGTTTAACTACATCCTTCCGATAACAGGGAGGCCAGAAATTAATGCAGTATTCCAACAGTGGCCTAACAAATGTCCTGTAGAGCTGCAACATGACCTCCCAACCTCTATGCTCAGTGCACTGACCAATAAAGGCAAGCATGCCAAATGCCTTCTTCACTATTTTGTTTACCTGCAACTCCACTTTCAAGGACTGCAGGTTCATAGTTCCTCTGCCCTCATTAGTCCTCTTTATTAATTCTTCAAAAGTCTCAGTCAAGTTAGTGAGACACAATTTCTGGTGTAGAAGCTTTGGTGGAGATCAGGGGGTTTCTGGCCAATTTCTAATGCCTCAAAAAATAACAAAAACAACAACAACAACAACAACAACAACAACGAACAGGCGAAAAAAGAAACAGGTCACTTCTTTCACTGCTGTTTGTGGCAACAGGCACTAAATAAACATCTCTGCCCACCTGAATAGTAACTACATCCTGAAATTACCTAATGGACAGAGACAAACAGTTTGGGATGGCCCCAGGCTGGGAATGTGCTATGTAAATGCAAGCTGTTTCTATCTCAAATATGGATGTCTCATACAAGGAGTTAGGCCCATAGCCACTCTCAGCCTGCGTCAGCACGAGTAAAGATAGTTACCTCTCCTCGGCTACAAGGGAATGGATTCGAATATCTGGACGTACAGATTGCCCCAATGTGGTTCAGGTCATCAGGCAGCCCGAACATCTCACTGCAGCTCGTGGCAAAATACTTGTAGGGTTTCCAGGTGGAGCCAAAGTCTTGGGAACGTTCCAGAACCATGGCAGCAGGCCTGGGAGATTTAAAGATCATGATGAGGTGGGTGAAGTAGAAGGAGGTGTCCAGATCCAGCTGGATGGTCTCTCTGTAGCTCCCTGGGCTGGATTGCCACCAGGTTTGTGGGAGATGGAAGGAGGAATCGGTCATCGCCATTGCTGGGTGGGAATGCCGGCCATGGAACCCACCGCATTTCCCACACATTGGTGCCTCCGTGCAGCCCCTTCCCAAATGTGAGCAGAAGAACTGAGTGCCGTTTAATCCACAGGTCGTGCTGGTTCGGAGTTGTCTGGCTGCTGCCAGGTTTCCCAGGTGAGGGTTACAGGCACCAGACTCACAGTGCCTCCTCACCCCCGGCACATCCGCCAACCCTGAAACAGACAGGGACAGGAATCTAAAATTACTGTCAGCAGCATGCACAGCATTAACACTGCCCCACAGTATGACAGCAAACAATTCCAATGACAAAATTCAATCCCGTTTCACTCCACTTGACATAAAAAGGACAAAACCCCTTCATCTAGATACACAATCCTTACGTTACTCAGACAGTCAAATTCACAGTTAGTTATTTACAAATGGAGTAATCTGTAGGTTAGATTTTGTACACGGAGGTAGACACAGCAGTGCCAACCACAGCTGTCAATAACTTCACAACTCCAGGGTCACTCTGCAATCGGACATCACTCCCAACCAGATTCTCGTATCCCCGTTGGAGATTGGAGAGTTTGATCCCCTGGTGTGGTTACTCTCTCCATGGCCTAGGCCAGTCGAGGGTCACTCTGTCCATGGCACTGGTCAGCCTGGGATCACTCGCTCACCGCTTTGGTGAGTTCCAAGTCTCTGTTGTCACACTGGGCATTCATATCGGCTTCACTGACTGAACTATGGCTGGGATCCCCCAGGGTGAATGTTCCCTGGTTGTGGACTCACATCGGTGGAAATAAATTGTTCGCCCACTCGGGGTAACTCGAGAGAGCAGCACATTGGGAGAATGAGGGAGTGGTGGGAGGGGGAAGAAA